TGGGCCGGGCCGCGCCGCGCCGCTCCGGGAGCCGGGCCCGGGGCCCCGCCGCCACCGCGCGCGGGTGAGTAGGGTCGGGCGCCGGGGCGGGCTAGGCCGCGCTAGGCCGGGCGGGCGGGACCCGGAAGCGGCGGGGGGCGCGGGCGGCTGACGCGCGTGGGGCCGAGGGGGTGGGCACGCGGGCGGCGGGGGCCGCTCGGAGGTCTGAGGCCTCGGGCGCGTGCGGGGGCGCGGGGCGGCTGCAGGGGCCGCGCGGGGCAGCTGCAGGGGCCGCGCGGCGCTTGCGGCGTCTCGGCACCGCGGGCCTGGAACCCTCCCCGCCTCCCCGACGTCGGCAGGAGTGCGGCTGCCCCGGAGGAGGGCACTCCGCCGCGTGCCGGGTCCGGGCCGCGCTTCGGCCTGAGCCGCCGTGCGCTCCGGCGTCCGTACCCTCCGCGATGCCTCGCTGCCCAAACACTGGTCTCTCTTGGGTGTGGTTCTTAGAGGCTACCCCCGCCCCGCACTCTGGAATTCAGCCCCCCGTGAAACCAGAACTGCGCTGCCTGAGCCGTGAAACTTTCCGTTTGGCATTGGAGAAAGTGGAGGAAAATACGTCCGTTCCCTCGGGGTTTTTCCCAGTTCGTCTGTAAGATAGCTATTTGATTTATTTATCTTTTTGATAGAGATGGGGTGTCCCTGTGGTGCCCAGCAGGTGTTGAACTCTCATCCACCTGCCTCAGCCTCCCAAGGTGCTGGGACTACAGGCATGACCACCGCCCCTTCTAAGATAATTTTTTTTTTTTTTTTTTTTTTTTTTTTTTGGAGACGGAGTCGGGCTCTGTCACTCAGGCTGGGAGTGCATAGTGGCTCCTGGCAACCTCCGCCTCCTGAGTTCAAGCAATTCTCCTGCCTCAGCCTCCGGAGTAGCTGGGATCATAGGCATGCGCCACCACTCCTGGCTAAGTTTTGTATTTTTAGTAGAGACGGAATTTCACCCTGTTGGTCAGGCTGGCACGGAACTCTTGACCTCAGGTGATCCGCCCTCCTGGGCCTCCCAAAGTGCTGGGATTACAGGCGTGAGGCACCGCTCCCGGCTGCTTCTATGATAATTTACAAAGGGTTCTTATTGTGCATATCAGCCCTTTCTTTCTGTTCACACTTCTGTTCTTTGCTTCTTCAGGAAGAATCTCTGGCTTACTTGAATCCACAGGCTCTATTTTGGAGAAAGCACAGTTGAAACTGGCTACCCAAGATGTTCCGCAGTAGCTGGGTTTCAGTTTTAAGATCCCCGTTCAGGGACAAGGATGGGAAAGCATGAAAAACACAGTGGGTTTGTTTGATTTTCAGCTGCTGTTGACTTGTCTTGGGTTTCTAGCTTCAGAAAAGCTAAGCAGACTTTTTTGGATTACATTGGTCATTGGGAATTTAGGTGATGGGGGTACAAATTACATGTGAAATAGTAGCCCTGAACCTTCAAGAGTTTAATCAATGGATGGTTGGGAAAATGTCAGAGTCATGCTCTGTTATGTGCATACTCCATGTAAATCAAGATTTCAAAAGTTACATTTGGGTAAAATAAATGTATACACACGCCTGTAGCATTGAGTTTGCTGCCATGGTACCCGGGCTGTACGCCTAAGCAGTGACTGAAGGGAATTTTAAATACAGTATCAGACTTGTAGGCACCCCACCCCTTTTGTGGAATCACTTTATTGATGGTAGCTACAGGCTGTGGGCCATATCCAGTGTTTGTGGGCATTTGATGCTCACCTGAGTTAGTATAGCTGCTTTATGTGTGTGTGTGGGGTGTGTGTACACACTAAATGCTTGGCGTGCTTCCCTGTGGGAGCCCAGAGATTTCGGGAACTGGGACATGTTTCAACAACAGCAGTAATTTGTAGAAGGGTTCATGTGCTTCCAGGGACACCAAAAAGTCTTCTGTCAGTTGACAGCCAAAAATACATAACGATTATAAGAAAATTTTCTTCTGGCTGTGAAAAATAGTGTAAAATAATAGAGTGGACTCGGGTCACACATGAATTAAAACATTAGTTTTGGGCAGGGCACAGTGGCTCATGCCTATAATCCCAGCACTTTGGGAGGCCGAGGCGGGTGGATCATGAAGTCAAGAGATCGAGACCAACCTGGCCAACATGGTGAAACCCTATATCTACTAAAAACATAAAAATTAGCTGGGTATGGTGGTGCGTTCCTATAGTCCCAGCTACTTGGGAGGCTGAGGCAGGAGAATTGTTTGAACTCGGGAGGCAGAGGTTGCAGCGAGCCGAGGTGGTGCCATTGCACTCCAGCCTGGGCAATAAGAGTGAAACTCAGCGAGCCGAGGTGGTGCCATTGCACTCCAGCCTGGGCAATAAGAGTGAAACTCAGTCTCAAAAAAAACCATGAGTTTTGGGGCCAGGTGAGGTGGCTCACACCTGTAATCTCAACACTTTGGGAGGCCAAGGTGGGTATATTGCTTTGATCTCAGGAGTTTGAGACTAGCCTGGGCAACTTAGTGAAACTTCATCTCTACAGAAACAACAAAAATTAGCTGGGTGTTGGTGGCTCGTGCCTGTAGTCCCAGCCACTTCAGAGACTGAAGGTGGAGAATTGCTTGAGCCTGGGAAGTGGAGGCTGCCGTGAGCTGAGATCGTCCCACCGCCTTCTAACCCAGGCCACAGAGCGAGATCCTGTCTCAAAAAAAAACAAAAAAACCCATTAGTTTTGGAAGAATTTGCTGCTATTTTCTGTAGCACAGTAGTTCAGCATCTGTAGAGAGCCAGTGTTTGGCATCTGTGACAAATGTCTTTGTCTTTTACATCAGCGAATTAAATATTTTTTGGTACCCATTAGTTGCAAGACCTTGGGCTAGGTGCCGTGGGTCCTGCTGCTACTAATAACGAGACGTAAGGCCCTTATGAGAGCGTGATGGCGACTTGTGGTCAGCCTTCCACCTGAACACTCTCTGGTTAGTCACTTTCTGGTTTCCAGTGACTTGGTTCTTCTTAAAGCTAGTGAATGGTGGCATCTGTGTAAGGGCAAGGCTCAGGCGGTCAGGGTGCAGGCCTTCTTTCCTGTGACGGGATCCCAGGCAGGAGGATAGATGACTGGGAGCTAGTGTGGAGGTGCCCACACCCCGGGGGCTCCCTCCATGCTATGGGGCTCCAAGAATGACTGCAGCTCAAATGCTCCGTGAGCTGCAGGATGCCACAGCCCACGGGGCCTTGACCTTTAGAAACGGTGTGTTCCTGCTGAGGCTGAGATCACACACCACCCAGCATTTTCACAAAAAGTCACTAGCTGCCGAAATGTCATTGAGGGGCACATAGTTGCAGCCCATCCTCCATCTGTAGGTGCCTATTTATTTTCTTGTTTTATTATTATTATGTATATTTTTTGAGACAGGGTCTTGCTTTGTCGCTAGGCACCAGGCTGGAGTGCAATAGTGTGATCTTGGCTCACTGCAACCTCCGCCTCCCGGGTTCAAGCAGTTCTCCTGCCTGAGCCTCCCAAGTAGCTGGGACTACTGGCGGGCGCCACCGTGCCCAGCTAATTTTTGTATTTTTTTAGTAGAGATGGGGTTTCACCATGTTAGCCGGAATGGTCTCGATCTCGTGATCCTCCCGCCTCGGCCTCCCAAAGTGCTGAGATTAGAGACATGTGCCACCGCGCCCAGCCCCTCGTTTTATTATTATTGGAGATGGAGTTTTGTACCTGTCACCCAGGCTGCTGTCCAATGGCGTGATCTCTGCTCACTGCAACCTCCACCTCCTGGGTTCAAGTGATTCTTCTGCCTCACCCTCCCTAGTAGCTGGGATTACAGGTATGCGCCACTACGCCTGGCTGATTTTTTTTTTTTTTTTTTTTTTTTTAGTAGAGACAGGGTTTCTCCATGTTGGTCAGGCTGGTCTCAAACACCCAACCTCAGGTGATCCACTTGCCTTGGCCTCCCAAAATATTGGGATTACAGGCGTGAGCCACCGCGCCTGGCCACTTATTTATTTATTTATTTTAATTTTATTATTTGTTTTGGAAACAGTTTTGCTCTTGTTGCCCAGGCTGTAGTGCAATGGTGCGGTCTTGGCTCACCGCAACCTCTGCCTACGAGGTTCAAGTGATTCTCCTGCCTCAGCCTCCCAAGTAGCTGGGATTACAGGCATGCGCCACCATGCCCGGCTAATTTTGTAATTTTTTTTTAGGAGAGACAGTGTTTCTCCATGTTAATCAGACTGGTCTTGAACTCCCGACCTCAGGTGATCTGCCCGCCTGGACCCCCCAAAGTGCTGGGATTACAGGCATGAGCTGTCGTGCCTGTCCTATTTTATTTTTTGAGGTGGAGTCTCGCTCTGTTGCCCAGGCTAGAGTGCAGAGGCATGATCTGGGCTCACTGCGTCCTGCACCTCCCGGGTTCAAGTGATTCTCTTGCCTTAGTTTCCTGACTAGCTGTGATTACAGGTACCTGCCACCATGCTTAGCTAATTGTTGTATTGTAGTAGAGACGGGGTTTCACCATGTTGGTCAGGCTGGTCTTGAACTCCTGACCTTGTGATCCGCCTGCCTCGGCCTCCCAAAGTGCTGGGATGACAGGTGTGAGCCAGCACGCCCGGCTTATTTTATTATTACTGTTTGAGATGGAGTTTCGCTCTTGTGACCCAGGCTGCAGTGCAATGGCATGATCTTTCACTGCAATCTCCACCTCCCGGGTTCAAGTGATTCTCCCATCTCAGCCTCGTGAGTAGCTGGGATTACAGGTGCCTGCCACTATGCCCATCTAATTTTTGTATTTAAAAAAAAAAATTTTTTTTTTTTAAGGCTGGTCAAGTGAAGCAGTGGGAGTGAAGGAACAAAGAAATCTGTAACTGGTTGTGATCAATTATTTGTTAACACCACTGCACTCGGACCAGCCTAATTTTTGTATTTTTAGTAGAGATGAGGTTTTGCCATGTTGGCTAGGCTGGTCTCAAACTCCTGATCTCAGGTGATCCGCCTGCCTCAGCCTCCCAAAGTGCTGGGATTACAAGCATGAGCCACTGCATCCAGCCTATTTTATTTTTTTAGAGACAGGACCTTGCTCTATCGCCCAGGCTGGAGTGCAGGGGTGTGTGATTGTAGCTCACGACAGCCTTGAACTCCTGGGCTCAAGTGGTCTTCTTGCCTCAGCCTTTCAAGTAGCTGGGACTACAGACATACACCACCATACCCGGCTAATTAAGAAAGTTTTTGATTTTTGGCCGGGCGCAGTGGCTCACGCCTGTAATCCTGGCGCTTTGGGAGGCCAAGGCGGATGGATCATGAGGTAAAGGGATCAAGACCATTCTGGCCAACATGGTGGAACCCTGTGTCTACTAAAAATACAAAAATTAGCTAGGCACGGTGGCGCACACCACTCGTCCTCACTACTCGGGAGGCTGAGGCAGGAGAATTGCTTGAACCCGGGAGGTGGAGGTTACAGTGAGCCGAGATCTCACCACTGCACTTCGGCTGGCCACAGAGTGAGACTCCGTCTCAAAAAAAAAAAATTTTTTTTTGTAGAGATTGGGTCTCACTATGTTGCCCAGGTTAGTCTTGAACTCGTGGGCTCAAGGGATCCTTCAACCTTAGCCTCCTGAGTAACTGGGACTACAGGTGCGTAGCACCACGCCTGGCCCTGTGGATCCTTCTTGCTTCCAGCTGTAAGCAGCTGTGGGCAGGTAACGTGTGCAATGTGAGAAAGTTGGTGTGCAATGTGGGGGACACATTGCATCCATGTAGACCAGGGACAGCAGTGGAGTGGTGGCTAGGAGAGCCCCCTTGAGTTGGTCCTGGGTTTTAGGGTGTTGTTTGTACCCTGTGGCTTGTTTAGCACTCCAGGCTTTTGAGCCCAGTGTGTTCCTGTAAAGCCTTCTCTCCAGCCACTTTTCGCCGGGACCACTTAAATGGCAGGCTGTGTTTCAGTCACCAGTGTGGCTGGGTTGAGAGGCATAGCCAAAGCTCCTGGGCTCCCGTAGGACGTGGCAGGAAGGACCGCAGACCGTGGCAGAGGTTTCTGTTGGAGCCCTTATCTCGTCTCTTTTGCACATCCCAGGCAGGCTTCTAGCAGCAGCTGCAGCAGCAGATTCTGTAGTTACTGATGTCTAAGAGGGTGGGTGGCTTGGTTTTCAGCTTGAGGAGTGAAGTCAGCTATAGCTTCTTTAGCTGAAAATTGTGTTTGAATTTCATTTTATTCTGTACCTTCCCTGCTCCTTAAAGTACCCAATTACTGTTTGCTCTCTGAAGGATACTTTCCTCACGAGAGAGGCTTTTAAGAGTCAAGTGCAGCTTTCTGACAGCGCACTTCAAGATTGTCTCCAGTGATGGTGTCAGAGCGCCTCTGTGGGTGTGAGTGGTGTTCTTGATCCCTTGGTCGATGGTGCTGAAGGTGACCCATGATTGACTGCTCTGAGGCGTGTGCTGAGAGCCAGAGGAACTCGGCAGTGTGTGCTCACGTGTTGCAAGTGTGCCATGTGTGAAGTGACGTGGCAGGTGGGACACCGCGCTGTGAGCTGGAGGGCATGGGCTCAGAAGACGCCCGCCTGCCTTGGGCGCTCTAGCAAGCCTTCCTTTCTGAGTGTTGCCAGGCCGCTGGAGAAGTTGTCTCCATCCTGCTTGTGAGGGTCCAGCCCTCACTCAGGTTTATGCATAGTCAGGACTAGAAGCAGCTTTCCTTCCCCTCACTCAGCTCTGCAGCTGACGGGGGAGCTGCTCAGGCTGCCAGCCTCTGTGTCGTGTGTGCAGGGACACGTGTGAGGAGTGGTATTCCCGTGCCCGGGGCATTCCCTTCTTAGCATGAGAGGCATTCCAGTAGTTGTAAACGTTTCCAGAAATTGCTTTAATGTAGAACAATGCTTGTAGCCAAAATACACCTTGACTGAAAATTTCAACTGAGTTTCTTGCTTTGAGTTTGAGTGGGGGGCATCATCACGAGTCTTGTCTTGAGAAAAGCTCTGGCCGTGCCTCATGGAGCCGCCTTTCCTAACCCTTGTCCTCTTAATGGTTTCAACAGGACAGATTGATTGACTTTGGAGCTGTTAAGTACTGATGTATTAGGGTGCAGCGCTCATTGTGCATTGACGCACAGAGTCCCAAAATGAATGTCCAGGAGCAGGGTTTCCCCTTGGACCTTGGAGCAAGTTTCACCGAGGATGCTCCCCGACCCCCAGTGCCTGGTGAGGAGGGAGAACTGGTGTCCACAGACCCAAGGCCCGCCAGCTACAGCTTCTGCTCCGGGAAAGGTGTTGGCATTAAAGGTGAGACTTCGACCGCCACTCCGAGGCGTTCGGATCTGGACCTGGGCTATGAGCCTGAGGGCAGTGCCTCCCCCACCCCACCGTACTTGAAGTGGGCTGAGTCACTGCACTCCCTGCTGGATGATCAAGATGGGATAAGCCTGTTCAGGACTTTCCTGAAGCAGGAGGGCTGTGCTGACTTGCTGGACTTCTGGTTTGCCTGCACTGGCTTCAGGAAGCTGGAGCCCTGTGACTCGAACGAGGAGAAGAGGCTGAAGCTGGCCAGAGCCATCTACCGAAAGTACATCCTCGATAACAACGGCATCGTGTCCCGGCAGACCAAGCCGGCCACCAAGAGCTTCATCAAGGGCTGCATCATGAAGCAGCTGATCGATCCTGCCATGTTTGACCAGGCCCAGACAGAAATCCAGGCCACTATGGAGGAAAACACCTACCCCTCCTTCCTTAAGTCTGATATTTATTTGGAATATACGAGGACAGGCTCGGAGAGCCCGAAGGTCTGTAGTGACCAGAGCTCTGGGTCAGGGACAGGGAAGGGCATGTCTGGATACCTGCCGACTTTAAACGAAGATGAGGAATGGAAATGTGACCAGGACGTGGACGAGGACGATGGCAGAGAAACTGCTCCTCCTGGAAGACTCCCTCAGAAGCTGCTCCTGGAGACAGCTGCCCCGAGGGCCTCCTCCAGTCGACGGTACAGCGAAGGCAGAGAGTTCAGGTGAGTCCGACGCCAGGCGTCTGCTTTCTGTACTCGCCTCCAGGAGCTGGAGAACAAGCCAGGGAAAGGTGCTGATGACGGGGCTTTAACCCACGCTGGATGTCCTGCTGCCGTTGCGGTTGGATTTTGGTTTTGTTCTTATTCATGATAATTTTGCTTTTGTCATTAGATACTTTTTTAATATCTGTAATGTTGAGAATACTTTCATTGAGAACAGACTAAAATATATGACTTTGTGAGTCATTAGGAACATCAGAATTCTGGCCGGGCGTGGTGGCTCACGCCTGTAATCCAAGCACTTTGGAGGGCAAGGCGGGCGGATCACCTGAGGTCAGGAGTTCAAGAACAGCCTGACCAACATGGTGAAACCCATCTTTAAAAAAGAAAGAAAGGAACATGAGAATTCTTAGAAGTCATAATGCCATTTAAACTATACCCTTCAGTGGTAAAATCTGTACTCTCTTAAGTAGGTGGTGGATCTATCTGGTAGACATGATCCTTTGGGCTTAATAAAGGGAGGAATGGATATTTCAGGGCATCGATACTTGGAGACTTGGATTATTGCCTTTTTTTTTTGAGACGGAGTTTCACTCTTGTTACCCAGGCTGGAGTGCAATGGTGCGATCTCGGCTCACCGCAACCTCCACCTCCTGGGGTCAGGCAATTCTCCTGCCTCAGCCTCCTGAGTAGATGGGATTACAGGCACGCGCCACCAGGCCCAGCTAATGTTTTGTATTTTTAGTAGAGACGGGGTTTCACCGTGTTGACCAGGATGGTCTCCAGCTCCCGTCCTCAGGTGATCTGCCCGCCTCAGCCTCCCAAAGTGTTAGGATCACAGGCGTGAGGCCACTGCGCCTGGCCGGATTATTGCTTTTATAATGGTCTAAGCTTCTTCCTGGAGGCTGAGAAATAGTGGGGAGGAAGTTTAGGTGTGGGGAGTGGCCAGAGTGCTTTGAAAACTTCCTGTGGCTAGGTGGGCATTCCGAGATTGGGCTTTTTTTCTTGCCAACACAGTCCGTTGGTGCTGTGGTGCAGTCCACGCAGCCTGGGCCCTGAGGCGGTCCTCGTAGGCGTCTGGGGTGCGTGTGCATCAGCCTTGGACCCTTTTCTTCCTGCTTCCTTCCCTGTGATCCTTGTGTGGTTCCTGGAGGTGTATTTGGCTTTCGGGTTGGCATCTGTTGTGCTTGTGAGCAGAGTGCATGCGTTTCCCACTCTTTCTGTAGAGCTGATCACCGGAGGCTCCGGCCTGTGTAACTTTGAAAGCCTGGAATCCACGTGACCCCTGCTGATTTAATCAAGACTCCGAAAACACATCCCCATGTGCTGGGACTCTCCCGTGGAGTTATTAAAACTCGAATCAGTTTTTCAAGCTTACTGTGACACAGAAATCGGCTACTTGCTCATAAACACAGGATTAAACATTTCTGAGTGAAATGATTTAAGATGGACTGTCAGCCGGGCGTGGTGGCTCACACCTGTAATTCTAGCACTTTGGGAGGCCGAGGCGGGCGGATCACCTGAGGTCTGGAGTTCTAGACCAGCCTGGCAGCATAGAGAAACCCCATATCTACAAAAATACAAAATTAGCCGGGTGTGGTGATGTACGCCTATAATCCCAACTACTTGGGAGGCTGAGGCAGGAGAATCGCTTGAACCTAGGAGGCGGAGGTTGGGGTGAACCGAGACTGCGCCATTGCACTCCCGCCTGGGCAACGTGAGCAAAACTCCATCTCAAAAAAAACAAAAAAAATTTTTTTTTTCTTTTGTTCATTGTCTTTAGCCAAGTGCTGTTTTATTTATTCTTTTTTTTTTTCGAGATGAAGTTTTGTTCTTTTGCTCAGGCTGGAGTGCAGTGGTGTGATCTTGGCTCACCAAAACCTCCGCTGTTGGTTTCAAGCGATTCTCCTGCCTCACCCTCCCAAGTAGCTGGGATTACAGGCACATGCCACCATGCCAGGCTCATTCTTGTGTTTTTAGTAGAGATGAGATTTCACCATGTTGGCCAGGATGGTTTCCAACTCCTGACCTTGTGATCTGCCCGCCTTGGCCTCCCAAAGTGCTGGGATTACAGGCACGAGCCACTGCGTGCTGGCCAGCCAAGTGCTGTTTATTTAGCAAGCATTTTTTTTTTTTTTTTTTAAGACGGGGTTTCACCATGTTGGTCAGGCTGGTCTTGAACTCCTGGCCTCAGGTGATCCGCCCGCCTTGGCCTCCAAAGTGCTTGGATTATAGGCGTGAGCCACCACGCCCGGCCTATTTAGCAAGCATTTTAGGAGATGGAGTCTTACTCTGTCACCCAGGCTCAAGTGCAGTGGTGCAGTCACGACTCACTGCAACCCCTTCCTCCTGGGTTTAAGTGATTTTCCTGCTTCAGCCTACCAAGTGGCTGAGATTATGGGTGCCTGTCACCATGCCTGGCTAATTTTTGTATTTTTAGTAGAGACGGGATTTTGCCATCTTGACCAGGCTGGTCTTGAGCTCTTGGGCTCAAGTGATCTGCCTCTCTTAGCCTCCCAAAGTGCTGGGATTACAGGTGTGAGCCACTGCACCCGGCTGGTTATTTTGTTTGTTGAAATGGAGTCTTGCTCTGTTGCCCAGACTGGAGTGCAGTGGCATGACCTCAGCTCACTGCAACCTCCGCCTTCTGGGTTCAGGCTGTTCTGCCTCAGTCACTGAGCAGCGGGGGATTATGGGCGTGCACCACCACGCCTGGCTAATTTTTGTATTTTTAGTAGCACAGGGTTTTACCACACTGGCTGTGTTGAACCAGCCTGGTCTTGGACCTCAAGAAATCCGCCTGCCTCAGCCTCCCTGGTAGTTGGAATTACAGGCATGAGCCACTGCGCCCGGCCCCAGCTAGTTATTTTTAAGGTGGGACTAAAGTTGAGGGCTGGGCTGCAGGAGACATAGAAGCTCATTTCCGATTCCTGCTGTTCAGCAGGAGCAACATGGTGGCTGGTCTTGGGCCCCTGGTGCGTGAGCAGTAGCTTCACCGTCTGTCCTTGATTTGCTGTGTTTGTAGCAAGCGACGTTTGTTGTGAAATTAATGGAATACATTGGCTTCTCTTGTCGAATTTTGTGTAGCCGTGTCTACACAGTTTGGGTCCACACTTGCCTGCTGTGGGGCTGCTGGTGGCCGAGGACCCTGGGGCTCAGGAGTCCTGTCAGCAGTGGGATCGTCTGTGGGAGGTGGCCGTGGTGCAGCTTTGTGGTGTGAAGATCTCTGCTGCTGGATGGCCGGTTCTCAGCACTGACAGGGCACGCAGTCTAGCGTGTGTTCCTCACGCCTGGACCTTCTGTTTGTCCTGCCAGGTGTGGCGTGAGGGTGCAGTAGGTTGGTCGGAAGTAGTGGAAACCCACCCACCGGGGCTCAAGCCTGAATGGAGCAGTTGAGGCAGAGCCTCAGGTGTGCCTAGCACCTTCGCTTTGTGCCAGCCTGACCTGGCTTGCCTAGTGGCCAGCTTCATGGGCTTTGTGTTGGAGGTGGCTGCCGCGGTGACCTTGGGCTCTGGGTTCCCTTGTTTACAGATTCTTCCTGCAGCTCTGAAGGACGGGCCTGCCGTTGCTCTGAGGAGTGGCACCCTGTGCCGCTGTGTCCTGTCCGTCCAGCCCAGTCAGACGGCATGGGTGGCGGCTGTGCAGGAGGGCCACTCCTGAAGGAAAGTGGGGTGCTCCAGCCGGGCAGATGGCTACTCCCCAGTGGGGAGCCAGGGGTGGTCCTCCAGAGGAAGGCTGGGGGTAACACAAAGGGCAGAGGAGAGTGGGTACTGAACAGGCAGCTGGTGAGCACTGCTACCAAAACAGGACCTGGAGCTTAGGCCTCACGTGTTAGGGGATGTGTTTCCCGTGGAGAGCAGCTTAACTGTCCCAGGGTGGAATCTGTGTGGAGGAGCGGTCAGAAGGGCTATGTCCAGCACAGGAGGCCTGGGCCTTGGATGCGGGCTCTTCTGTCCTGGGGCCTGCTTTGCTGTGCCTTTGCTGCAGTCACTCCTCCCCTGCGTTGAGGCACAGGCTTCCAGTTGTGCGGGCCTGGGTGCGGGTTCTTGTTGGTCCGTGTGTGAGCCACTTGGTGGTTTCACATACTTGATTTGAGGAAAGTGAGATGTTTTGCTGAGGTCTGTGTCTCAGCCTGGGAAAGAGCTCCATTCCTGGCCCTTGTCTGCATTTGTCCCACTCATCCACTGTCATTTTGAGCTCCTGGGCCAGGGTTTCATGGGGTTCCTCCCTGGCTCCCCAGTTCTGCCTCTGTGGGAACATTTTCTGCACTTTTGGGTCTTGGTTCTCATTGTCAGTGGAACCTTGTACAGAACTGGCTGGGTCATTTCAGCAGTGTGAATTGTCAGGCAGGTTTTGCTGTTTACTGAGTGGTCAGGCAGGAGGACTAGGGCCTGCACTCCCTGGCTGGCGAGCTCAGGCTCTGCTCCCCTTCAGGGTGGCTTGGCCAACCAGGTGGCCTTCGGGGCTGGCCCTGCATGTCCTTGCCAGGTGTGCTCGGTCAGGCGTGCAGCCCGTCGCCGCTGGCTCCTTCTGTTGACTGCCCTGACCTTCCTCGCTGCCTGGGTAGCTTGCTGGGGACGGGGTCTTCCTAGGGATTTTCTTGTATCTTCCCGGGCCATCGCAATGGGGCACTTGTTAGGGGTAGGGCTGGTCAGTGTGGCTGTGGCCAGATAGGGGATGACAGACGTGTCCACAGCAGGAGCAACACGGTGGCTTGTCTTGGGCTCCTGGTTCGTGGAGCTCAGCTGCTCAGGAGACCAGTGGGTTCTTTTCAGGGTGGGCAGCCACCCTCTGCTGTTCAGGTTCCCACAGGGATACTTGAGGAACCATCTGACCTGCCCATTAGTTTATTGACTGTTTCTGGTAATGGCCTGAAAGGTTAAGAAAATAAATTATTTAAAAAAAAAAAGAGAGAGAGTGCTCACTTCAGCAGCACATATACTAAAAATTGGAACGATAAAGAGATTAGCATGGCCCCTGTGCAAGGGTGACACGCAGATTCGTGAAGCGTTCCATGTTTTTACACAAGAACAGGAAATCAAACACCGCATGTTCTCACTCATAGGTGGGTGTTGAACAGTGAGAACACATGGATGCAGAGAGGGGAGCATCACACACTGGGGCCTGTCGGGGAAATAGGGGAGGGACAGCGGGGAATGGGGAGGTGGGGAGAGGTAGCATGGGGAGAAATGCCAGATACAGGTGATGGGCAGGAAGGCAGCAAACCACGCTGCCATGTGTATACCTATGCAACAGTCTTGCATGTTCTTCACATGTACCCCAACACCTAAAATGCAATTTAAAAAAAATGTATAATATTCTAAGAAAAAAGAGAGAGAAAAAGTATTCAAAGTGTGTACAGTTTTCTGTGAAAGACTGACCTTGGGTTTCCGTGTCGCTTGGACTTCAGGCGTTGGCACTGGTGAAGGTGCTGAGTGCAGAGGGGCCGTGTTGAGAGGGTGAACCTGCTTCCCATGCAAAGGGGGTGGCCCTGGGTGGGCTCACCCTCAGGCTTGTTAAGGGGACCTCTGCTGTGGTGCAGAGAGGGCGTAGATGCTTGTGAGCCGCACCGCCCGCTGCCCGGCTCCCCTTGCCTGGTTTGGGGCTTTCTAGTCTCCTTTGGGATATTCACTTCCTCTGTTTGAGCAGATCTAAAGAGAATTTTTTTTTTTTTTTTTTTTTTAAGACGGAGTCTTGCTCTGTCACCCAGGCTGGAGTGCAGTGGCACAATCTCAGCTCACTGCAGCCTCTGCCTTCCAGGTTCAAGCAGTTTTCTTGCCTCAGCCTCCCCAGTAGCTGGGATTACAGGCACCTGCCACCAGGCCTGGCTAATTTTTTTTGTATTTTTAGTGGAGACAGGGTTTCACTCTGTTGGCCAGGCTGGTTTTGAACTCCTGACCTCAAGTGATCCGCCCGCCTCAGCCTCCCAAAGTGCAGGGGTTGCAGGCGTGAGCCACCATGCCCGGCCCAAAGAGAAATTTCTTTGTGGATGTCCAAGAAAAGTGGATAGAAGAACCATGTTTTCCACCTAAACTTTGTCACGCTCTGAGCATGTCCAGCTCCTGGCTGAGCCTGGGACCCGGCTTGGCAACTGTTCCACTGGCTGTGGCTGGGGGGTGTCCCCTGCCAGCCAACTGACCGTGGAGTCCCTCTGGCTCATCTGTGAAGTGGGAACAGTGAAGTAAGGACCTGCTAAGTGGCGGACATTGTGACGGATTCTGTGAGTGCCTCGGAGGCCTCAGCCCTGTGCCTACACCTTTTACCATGCTCCTCTGGGTTACAAATGGTTGCAACGATAGGGCAGTGAACAACACATTCTGATTTTAATAATTGTATTTCCTTAAAGTGAGGCATGTTCGGTCCCTCCTCAAACCTGCTGCTTTGTATTCTTCTCTCAGAAGTGGCCTCGCCACCTGCCAGGCCTGGCATCCTCCAGCTCCTCACACTGGCACTCCCACTTCCTGCACCCCACCTGCCTCAGGAGTCCCCGCACTGGGTCTCTGCCTCCGTCGGTTCTCCTGCGGCTCCAGAGGGTCTGTGATAGATGCCCTCCCTTCTTCCAGCACCCAGGGACTTCCTACTGTACCAGCAGCGAAACCCAGGCTCCTAAGGACACAAACCTGCTCTGCTGGACTCTGTCACCACAGCACCAGCTGTGTCCTGCTTTTTTTTTTTTTTTTGAGATGGAGCTTCACTCTTGTTGCCCAGGCTGCAGTGCAGTGGCGCAATCTCAGCTCACTGCAACCTCTGCCTCCCAGGTTCAAGCGATTCTCCCGTCTCAGCCTGCGGAGTAGCTGGTATTACAGGCGCATGTGCCACCACGCCTGGCTAATTTTTGTATATTTTAGTAGAGACTGAGTTTTTCCATGTTGGCCAGGTTGGTCTCGAACTCCTGGCCTCAAGTGATCTGCCCATCTTGGCCTCCCAAAGTGCTGGGATTAAAGGTGTGAGCCACCACGCCTGGCCCATGCTGTATTTTTATGTACCTGTCAGTGGGCAAGGACTCCAGACCTCTTTTTTCTCTTCCTTAGCCATGTAAAGCTCCACAGTCTCTGACAGATTTCAGCGGAGTCCACGGAAGTATCTGTAGTTGCCTGTTACAGCGAAGGATTCTGGAACCCAGACGCCCCTTTGCCTGGGCCGACCTCCGTCCTGAGCTGTATGGGTGGGTTGTGAAAGGGAAGCACTTGCGGGCAGCTAGTGACAGACGTGCTGATGAGACTCTCCATGGCCTTGGTGCCGGTGCTGATCTGCTGCAGCTGTTTCGGGGAGGGCCTGGGGCACATGGCGTTGTGGGCCCATGTGGCCCTTCTTGGAACTAAGCTGTACCCATGACTGCTGCCTGGCAGCCCAGCCCATTCTCACATTTTGCGCCAGTCAGTGTCACAGATTGGAATTTGATTCACAACTCCTGGTTCTGTTTATCCTTGTAAAATGCGGGGGTCATTTGTAGCAGTGTGCCCTGCAGTTACCAGAGGTAGGGGTCAGGCTGGGCCATGGTGGCTGTCAGGGAGGAAGGGCCGCCTGTTGGCTCTTTCTTGGGCCCCTCCACGCATACTTGTGTGTGTGGAGGGAAGCAGCTTTGCCTCAGTTTCCCCTCTGTCACATCCGTGAAAATGCCCATTTTGTGAGCCACTCACGGTCCTCTCAGAACCCATTAACTCCAGAAAGTATTTGGTTTTTCCACTCCCTTAGAGGTGGAGACTGGTCACGTGTCTGTTAAAATGCACACGGCTCCCTGATGTTGTAATGGTGTCAGGGAGCCCCCAGAGGCCACGTGCCACGCTGAGTGCACGTAGGGCTCAGGCTCCATGCCCCTTCTCCCCCAGCAAGGACCCTGGGCCCCGTCTGGAGTTGGACGCTGACTGTGCGGTTTGCAACCTTGGACAACAGGCTGCCTTCGTGAGCCGTTGAGGCCTCTCCTAGCAAGTGGGCTCAGCTCTTGGCTCAGCCGCTGGCTGGGTGGCTGGGCACGTGCTGTCCTTGCTGTGAGCTGCAGCGAGCAGCTTGGTCCAGGGCCCCGGCTCGTGGCACTCACCATCCTGCCTCGTTTGAGGTTCCTCCAGTGCTTTTTTGTGGTTTTAACCCACTCTGGATCTTTACCAGCTCACCTGCAGTCTATGGGGTTGGTGTCTGCTCCTAAACAAGTATTTAACCCTAAGGAGTGCAACTTTTCATACAGCCGGCAACTAGCATGGCTTGAACGCCCACCGGCATGGCTGGTTGGTCACATAGGCATTTTTTTCTGTGCAGTTCGATATATGGGCTTTTAATTTTCTTCTTTCTCTTCTGTATTTTCCAAATTCTTATAACAGCATGTTTATAATTAGAAAGTATACTATGAAAAGAATAATAGCTTTACAAGAAGGTCTGAATTATATGCAGCTTTTTTTTTTTTTTTTTTTTTTTTTTTTTTTTTTTGAGTTTTTCTCTTTCTCTGTCGCCAGGCTGGAATGCAGTGGTGGGATCTCAGCTCAGTGCAGCTTCCACCTCTTGGCTTCAAGTGATTCTTCTGCCTCAGCCTCCTGAGTAGCTGGGACTACAGGCATGTGCCACCACACCCAGCTAATTCTTTTTTTTTTTTTTGAGATGGAGTTTCGCTCTTGTTACCCAGGCTGGAGTGCAATGGCGCGATCTCGGCTCACCGCAACCTCTGCCTCCTGGGTTCAGGCAATTCTCCTGCCTCAGCCTCCTGAGTAGCTGGGATTACAGGCACGCGCCACCATGCCCAGCTAATTCCTTGTATTTTTAGTAGAGACGGGGTTTCACCATGTTGACCAGGATGGTCTCAATCTCTTGACCTCATGATCCACCCGCCTCGGCCTCCCAAAGTGCTGGGATTACAGGCTTGAGCCACCGCATGTGTTTTTGGCATGCTATGATACTGGGTGCTGTGGTATTGGGTGCCATGTACTGGGTGCTATGCTATTGGCATGCCGTGGTACCTGGTGCTGTGTTACTCGTGTGCTGTGGTACTGGGTGCTGTGTTATTGGGTGCCATAGTACTGCATGCTATGTTATTGATAGGCTGTGGTACTGGGTGCTGTGTTATTGGCATACTATGGTACTGGGTGCCATGGTACTGGGTGCTATGCTATTGGCAGGGTGTGGTATCTTATGCTGTGTTACTGGGTGCTGCGTTATTGGTATGCTGTGGTACTGGGTGCTGTGTTATTGATGTGCTGTGGTACTGGGTGCTGTGTTATTGGTGTCCATGGTACTGGTGTTACGTGCTCATACCAAAAGAACCTGAAGGAGAGAAGAGTTGGGTTTAGAGTTTAGGTTGGGTGGCACCTCCCCCGAAATTGGGAGGAAGTACACCATCACCTTCTGTTTTTCTGAGCTGCACTGGAAAGAACTGACTCCATTTTCTTCATATGTAGTGGATGGGGCGTTTTCCCTCCCTGCACACATTTCTTGGATGTTTTCTTTATCAACAGTGTTATTTCATAATACTGTGTTTTGCTTGGGGCTTTTCTCTTTCCTTGTGCCAAAGAAACTTATCTTTTAATTCTGGACTTTAAAAAAATGCTGTTTCTTTCCTTTTTTTTTTTTTTTTTTGCCGGGGCAAGTCTGGAAAAAAGTGTTGAGCGATCCTCCTGCATCAGCCTCCAGAGTAGCTGGGACTGCAGGCACCAGCACACCCCACTAACGTTTTTTCTTTTTGAGACAGAGTTTCGCTCTTGTTGCCCAGGCCGGAGTACGGTGGCATGATCTCAGCTCACTGTAACCTCCGCCTCCCAGATTCAAGTGATTCTCCTGCCTCAGCTTCGTGGGCTCAAGTGATTCTTCTGCCTTGGCCTCCCAAACTGCTGGGATTAGAAGGCATGAACTTTCATGCCTGGCTGTAATTTTTTTTCTTTTTTACCAACAACATGTCCTATTTAATTTCTTTTCTCTCTCTCTCTTTTTTACCCAAGTAGCTACAGGCATGCACCACCATACCCGGCTAATTTTGTATTTTCAGTAGAGATGGGATTTCTCCATGTTGGCCAGACTGGTCTCGAACTCCAGATCTCAGG